ACCTACCTATTGAGCATAGATAGAAATCTACCTATCTATTCCATTGCCATGCACATACTAGTATATACATATTTCCCTATTTTCATAGTTTGTATTTGATTTTGAAAATGCAAGCTCACTACTGATTTTTAATAGGCAAGCAGTCTAACAAGCTTAAATATATAGGTAGATGATGGATGATAGATGTCAAAACTAACAATAATTTCAAGAATTATATGTAATTGCAAATATATATATATTGCACAATATTTCATTTTAATGTTTATGCATGTGAAAATCCCCTTGACTAGTTTTACTACTTAACGTTTAAAATTAGTGGAATTAAGCACAGGCAAATAAAGTTGCCCCTGTGGAATTAGGTTTTGTAGTGAGTGAATCCAGGAGTCCAATCTTAGCTTAGTCATTATTTTCTGTGTGACCCTGAACTACAAAATATCTCTGATTCTCTATTTCCAACAATGATGCTCCTACTCTGAGCTTCACTTATAAAGTGTGGATAATGATATTCACCTGGAGTTTATGTATATAAAGCTATTTGAATAGTTTAGTTTATTAGTTTAAGTTATTATTACTTACTATTATCTACAAAAATTAGGTACTTCTTATTTTGTCTCAGAACACATTTCATGGCTAACTATTTGGCACACTGGAAGATGAAATCCTTCAGAAAATTCTACCACAAAATCTATTTATTTTTGTTTAAATCCTTCATCACTTAATAACCACATTGTGTATGTAAATAATGTGTATGTAAAATATGTAAACAATCATTTACAAACTCCATCTGGAGGTTATATGAGAACACACTTAAATCTGAAGTCCCTGGAATTCTGCATATTTTGCATAGTTATAATTTATTAAAATTCTCTATTTTGGTCAGTTTCTAACTACTCCTAAATTTTACTATCCTCAAAAACAGACTTCAGTTTTAGTTTTCTTATAACCCCAAAACAAAGAGTTTTTTGCATATAAATGATATTCTCTGCATGTTCTTAAAAACAAATGTATGAATTATAGATAGTAATCTTAGTGTTTGATTTTTCTGTGCATATGAAAATGATATCAGTTGTATTGTGTTGAAGTAAAAAAAAAAAACTGATAACAAAATAGATCTATATGCCAAATAACCTTAAAAATTAATTACTTAACAATTTAATCCCAACTCATAATGATATATATATCAATGATATGATATAAATATATATATAATTTTTCTTAAGTATAGTATTTAATAAGTCAATTCACTGATTTTTTATCTATTCTACAATGAATGAAAACAATCCATTGTCATCCAGATGAATACATGATCAAAAAAAGAATTATCTCTGGTATCATCAGTTTATTTTACAATTATATAAAATATGTCCTAGGGTTTTAATGTAATTATTTTTACTTATTTTTTTTTCCCTAATGATATTTATTACAGTAAATCCCCCCCAAAAAAATTTGCATGTTGAAAACTTCTGATAATTTGAGTGAAGTGAATTTTTAGAGCTTCTGTGTCTTTAAAAAGTCACAGGATTAGTATCATAAAAACAACAAAGCAGTAATGCATAAAAGAATTATTAGAAGTCTAATAAAATTATTTGGACCTCCAACTACATCAATACTGATTAATGACTGTTTTTTAATTAATTGGAAGTTGTTCAATCACTGTACCATTTCATTTTGCCTGAGAGTTTTTATAGAAGATTCAGGGCCCAACATATGCTAGTTCAATCTGCAATAAGGTATACTTACACAATTTTGTTCTTCTTGGCAGGGCAAGTGTGAGCTATTTATTTCTCATTCATTCAGTATGATAATAGTTTTCTGCTCAGCTGGTTAGTTCAATCAAGGAAAATAGCCTTATGCATTAGAATATGAATAAAGTTTACTTTTAAACTCTAAATTCAAGCAAAATAAAGCCCACAATAAGCTATTCTTATGGCAGAATCTTTAATTACCACAAGGTATGTGTTTAGCCTCTTTATTTTTCACACAGATATATAGTGTTTACCCCAGCAGACTTCCTGAGGGCTCCAAAATCCATCCACACAGTGGTCTTTAAATAGATACTGGAATAGACCTGGAGTAGGTAGAGATTTTAGAAATATTACCTTACCATCACTTTTATATTCTTTATGTACATATAGATCATGTATCTAGCTCACAGTTCTGCATATGTCCCAGTAAGGGCCAGCATGACATATGAGACTAAATACACAGGGTTTCCTCATTTTCATTCAAGTAAATACTAAAGTCAACAAATAGGTGTGGCAGAGCCAGCAGGTGCCCTACTTATATTGATAATTTTAAAAGATAGCATTCCTTAGGTTTGAAAAATCAAGTTTTTGAGGATCAACAACACTTGATTCCACTGGAAGGGTCCAGAGTCTTCTTCCATTTTCCAAATGGTTGAAGCTCAACACTCTGACCCCACATGCCAGATCTGCTTCTACAAGTGCCCTCATAGCATGGTGATGGTTGTGGTGGCCTGGGTAGCCAGTGGGGAGAAAGAGACCTTCCAGAGCTACAATAGAGGTGATCACTGAACTATCTGCAGACTTTCACCTTGAGTTAGGGTATAGGGCCTACTACCTCTATTTCAGAAAACATGTACAAGTTTTGTTTGTGCATTTATAAGAAGATTTAGGTTAGATTGGATAGTATTCTAATTATAATCTATGGATAATATGTCTTTGATCAGTAGAAGTTATTTAAAGAGACTGCCTCTGGTCAGTTGTCACTTACTGTGTTCAAGTCTTATACTCAATATCTTAGCCAACTCATTTTTACTATATTGTCAAACATCTCAGGAAACTACAGCTAATTTTCTACTTTCAGCATAGTTAAACTGTCCCCAACATTCTGAATGAGCAAAATAATTGAAAGTTAACATGAAAGGAACGCTGACTAATATATGTAACTGTAATAAGATGTGATACTGGAGGGAGTAAAGATGCCAAGTGTGAAAGGAGGCTTTAGGGAAACATAGAGAATGGGGGCTGCGGGCCTCCAAAGGGGAGACTGGCATTCTGCTCTGCTGATACTATTTCTGCTCAGACAGCTGCCTGGATCATCTGTGTTCAGAGCCTAACTGAGCAAGGAGGGCAGAGGATGGCAGAACAGAGACGCAGTAGAAGGGTAGCCTGTAATGTGCCTACTTAGCATGGCAAAGATGTGTGAATTTCCTCAGGGTCAGGTTGGTACAGCAGAAAGGAGCTGAAATGGAGAAATTATGCTATTAAATCACCAGAGAAGGCTGCCTGCTGCCCAAAGGGATGCTGGAATTAAAAAGCTGTAAGGACTCCTACTGGTGCCCATACCAAGTTCTTATGCAGATGGAATGCTAGACACCCTCAGTCCAACATTAAATACTAAGAAAATCACAGGATAAGACTGTATTTGGGCAACTCCTTACTGCCAATCCACTTTAGTCACAGGTGCAGGTGAACAAACACAATATGGGGGCAGATAAGAGAGATTTGTGCTTTTTATCTCCTTCTCTTTTCCACTCCAACAGATTAGAGAATCTGTACCCCCACAACCAAAACATCATAGTTCCAATTTACAGTCCATTGAGTTCTGCAGTTATCTATTGCTGTGTAAACCATTGGCCCCAAAACGTAGTTGTTTGAAATAATTACACTTTTGATATTTCTCACAACTTTGTGGGTAAGAATCTGAGCAGGATTTGGATGGATATATATTCCATTCCACGTGGTATTGACAGAGGTTTTGCTGTGGTATTCAGATAGCAAGTGGCCTGGACTAGAGTTCCAAGTGTCACGCACACATCCAGAGCACCGGCAGGTATGGTTGGAGGGCTGAGCTGACCTGGGACAGTCAGCCTTACCCCCAAAGTGTCACTTCTCTCGTTTGGTAGCCTGAGGGTAGTCAGTCTTCTCACATGACAGGTCACTGTTCCAGAGGACAAGGCGGAAGCTACACTCACTTTTATGTCAGGCTTGACTTCAGTCATCAGAATAACCCAGAAGGAATGAAGTGATCTAACAGCATCATTAAGGCCCGGGAATAAGTGTCAGGACTACTCTTGTCTGGAAGCTGTTGTTGAAGACAAACAGAACTGTTTCTTATTTACACCCCACTGAGTTGAGATTGATCAAAAACCCCTCAAACAGAAACATTCACATTTAGCTCTTCCCCCACACTGTGAGGTGAAATTAGCTGCGAACATATTTGTACCAGATGCACAAAATGAAATAGGAAGGAAACAAAATGAAAAGCACTCAGAAGGGATTTCTCCAATTCCCCAAATCTTTGAAGACACCATAAGCAGAATGACTGGAAAGACACACTTTTGTTACAAACAACTATTATTGGTACCCAGATGTCACCGCTTCCACTTAATCTGTTACTTTAGGAAGTTGGGATAATATCCTTGATTGTCCCGCCGGACAAGTGAGACTAAACACACACTCTGGAGGATTCTGTTCTGGAGCAAGCAGGAACCAACACAAGGAATCATTTTTAACCATCCTATAGATGCTGACGATTCCTTGAAGAAGTGCACTTAAAACTCCTGTATATTCTGCAGTGATATTCATTTAAAAATTACATTCTAACGAAAGCAGAGACAAGAAAGAGAGATGATTTTTAAAAATGCTGTCTTCAATTTCAGAAAATATTTCAGAATGAGTGATTTTATGTTCTAATTATTTCCTCCTGCTTGGCCAGTGAAGCTCACAATAATATGCGGGGGTCCGATGTGGACGAGAGGTGGGAAGTCTGGTAGGATTTGAGGGTGTGGCGTGGAAAGGGGTGAGGTCACAATGAAACGCGGTGCTGCGCATTCACGCAGCCCTGCAAACAGGGCTCCCTGGCAGCTGTCGCGGCGTCTCTGGATTTACGAGGGAAAAGGAACAGGTTTCTGAGTTTCCCCAAGAGACCACTCAGCTGTCAGTCCAAAAATGAAAAACACCACAGCAGGGACTCGTTTAAGAGTGTTAAATCCAACAGCTGCAGTAAAACATTGATTCCGTCCATGCCATACTTACTAACTTTACGCGCCATGATGGAGAAATTATACTGCGCGGTGCTTTCTCTGTCTAGCAATTCATTAGTGGCGATGGTTCCTTCAGTTCCATCTATCGTAAAGTGGCTGTCCACATCACTCTTCCAATCTATGAAGTACCTGCATATAAAAAGGGTAGATGCAAAGTGTGCAATGATTACACATTCATCATAATGGTAGTCAGGCTAACAACACAGTGCCTTGTGTTTTCTCCCGGGAGCTATTGCCCACCTTGCAATAAAGAAGAGTGTAAATGACAGCTTCTTTATTGCAAAGTCAGTGTGCTCAAGGGGAAACTGGAAATAATGAAAGATTTAGTACTCCTGCTGTTCATATTATTTTAGGGTCTTGACACCTTGAAAGCTCAGCAGAGACTAAAATTCTAAAGCTGACCATGGGTTTCCTTATCCTGCTGAATATTAAAACTTTTTCAGGCAGTAAAAAATTCCTTAATGGTGGCTTTGGGAAGAACGGGGGGTGAGGGAGACATCTGCAAACTCTATGAAGGACTTAAGTCAGAGCAGAAGTGGAATCTTTGTTTTCACAGATAGAAAAGAGACATCATATTAAGGAAACTGAGGGGACATTTTAAAACAGACAATATGGTAAATGTACAGAAATATTTTCCCCAAACACATATAAAAGGGCCAGTGTTGTTTATTGTTCCATAGATCTGGACATCTTTCAAAAAACCCAATGACCTTGGCTAATAATGTCTTTTTATCTTCTTGGTTATAACAGTGCCATTTTTGTGTGTGAAGCAACTAGACTAAAACATCCAAGACATAGAATAAAAACACAGAAATTGAATTTATATAGTTATTTAGGTAACAAGAAAAATACAGAGTGATATATATATATATATATATTTATTTTCAAACATATATTTTCAATCATAATTAATAGACATTTTAAAATCTTGCCATGTACTGGACATTGTTCTAAATGCTTACATTTATTTACTTATTGAAACCCCACAAAAGCCCTAAACATATTATTAATCTTCTCATTTTATATATGAGGAAACACAGAGATATTAAGGAATTTTCCCAAGTTCACATAGCTAGAAAGTTTTAGAGCTGATATTTGAACCAGACCATCGATGTTGTCCTTATAATTATGATTATATAGTATCACCAATATGAAATAAACATTTTGCATGAAAGTGTTCTGCTAACCAAAGACTCAATGCACCATATATTTATCACTATTATTCTGGCCAAAAGCAGATGACATCATTATAATCAGCTCATCTAAATCCTCAGGCCAAAGGAAGTGATCTGTTTGTTCATCTTAATTTAGTTAAGGTATCTATTTCAAAATAGCAAGGTATTCTTTTGACAAGCTGGTTATTTGAAACTAGGGCAGTTTTCATGTCATGGTGGTGTTAGTTCAAAACAACTTCGCTTTTATAGATGAGATTTATAGCCCTTTACTTGTCAATGTTTGTTACCAACTGATTTCTGAACCAGAAGATTGCTGAGTATTATAGGATCAGGGTATGAGTCACGCTGTTAATCGGCTTTTAATAATTCTCTTGTTGATTTGAGGGGTGAGAATGCATGGATGTCTTAGGATTTCAATATTTTATTCTGTCTCATAAGAATGTTCTAAAAAATTATAAACAAAGTTAAAGCACATTTGAAAGTCAGGAGTACAGGATATAATGAGCTTAATTCTCCCTATCACATAATCTCCTTTTCTGAATAAGAAAGAATTTTCTTACAGTAGCCCTTTTTAGACCCTTTAGTCAATTGGCCCATGCCTAAACTAAGAAGAAAATTGCTACTGAATCTCTATAGTGACTACAGCATTTCTCGAAAAATGTTGGTATAGATTGTGTTCAATTGTCTAATTCACAAAATGTTTGCAACAGTGCTCACTACGCTCTATATAAAAATCAATAAAATTCAATTCCACCAATGAACAGTCTTATTGGGCAGATACATACAAACAGAAGATTTCAACACCTGCTAGAAGAACAAATAAGACATTACAGAGTAAAAAATAAATAAATAAAATACATACAACTCAAACCTGTTGAGGACAAAACTTCCTGCACATGACGTCTGGCTGATATTAGAAGACTATGAAGAAATTATTGAGGAGAAGAGAGGCAGACAGAGTGAGGAGAGGAAGAAATGTCTGTAAGGAAGCTGCAGAAGCAATAGCAAAGCCATGGCGTTTATGTGGGGGAACTGACTATAAATTGTTGGGAATCATAAAAAAATATCCAAGAGGCACAATAACACAAAAAAAAGATTTAGTGATTTAGTGCCTCATAAATTATATTAAGGAGGTGGGACATGTTCCTGTGGGTAATGAACACTATCAAAGGATATAATTAGGGTATGGATTAAAAGTGAATTACATTTAAGACATATGGTGGGTTTATTTATTTTATGTTTTTCCATTGTTTAACTGTATTTTAAAGATTTGTGAAAATTTTAAACACTGATAATATACAGTATGGAGAAATGGGCAGGGTCACTGTTTAGTTCAATGTAATTTTTTTTCTTTATTGATTTTAGAGAAAGGAAGATAGAGAGAGAAACATCGATGAGAGAGAACATCAACTGGTTGCCTCCTGCATGCCCCCCACTGGGGATTTGGCCCACAACCTGGACATGTGCCCTGACCCAGAATCGAACTGGTGATACCAGTCAGAGCCACTCTGTATGTGGAGTTTGCATGTCTCTCCATGTCTGCATGGGGTTTCTCTGGTTTCCTCACACACCCCAAAGATGTGCACATGAGTTGAGTTGGTGTATTTAATATGTCTCAGTCTGAATGAGTGTAGGTGTGTGTGTGTGTGTGTGTGTGTGTGTGTGTGTGTGCAGCCTTGCGTTGTAAGGAAGTCCTGTTCAATATTGGGTATATTTAAAGGGGACCAGAAAGTAAGCATTTTCTGTATACTAGACTCCTGACAAGAGACTAAGAGAACATCCAGGGCTATAAGGGATGTGATTCAATGGATTATGAGATGTATTTGAAATAACTAGGGATATGCAGCCTGAAGAAAGGAAACAGAAGAACATGCCAGATGCGTTTGCTGTGATCAGGATGCTCATGTGAAGCAGGTGTTAGATTGACTAGTTATGTTTCAGTGGAATGGAGGTAGGACTGGAGAATGGAGTCTATATAAATGATAATTTCAGATAAATATAATACACAAGTCAGAGCTGTCCAAGGTCATAATGAGTAGCCTCAGAGAACAGTAAGCAACAGGACCAATCAAATATTGACTGTCCAAATGCTTGGTGCAGATGTGGTAGAATCAATTTAAACATATTTGAAGATTATGAAGGTACTTTAGAATGCTGAGATGCCGTTACTATTACCCGTATAGATGGAATCTATTTCTTTTTTTTTTTTTATCCTCACCCGAGGACATTTTTCTATTTTTTGTACAGATAGAGTGGGAGGGAGAGAGTGGAGGAGAGAGAGAGAGAGAGAGAAACATCGATGTGAAGGGACACATCGAGTGGCTGCCACCCGCACGACCAACCAGGGCCGGGGACAAACTGCAACCGAGGTGCATGCCCTTAGCGAGAACCGAACCCGGGTCTCTCCGGACAGCAGGCCAACGCTCTAACCGCTGAGCCAAACTGGCCAGGGCTGGAATCTATTTCTTTTAGTTTGCATGGAATGCAATAGTTTCCAATCATTGTTTCTTACCAGCACTCTTGTTCTGACTTCTACAAATATGCTCTACTCCAACCACACCAACAAATTTTTTCAAACATATAATTTTTTCATAACCTTTTAAAAATAATAGCTATATTTATATACTATATAATTCCCTCATTTAACCCAAATAATCTAATCATTTCGGCATATTTACAAAGTTGTGCAACAATGTGGTAGTTTAAAAAATTTTTTTTAACTTATTAGTTCAGATATTTTTCATTTAATGAAGTAAACTTCAATTTTTTTTTGGAAATTTTACTTGTGTAAGCTAAAAATTGTGATTGTTTGGTTCTTATATTTCTCCTCTGCTTACTTTGATTTGCTATAAGTAAATATCTTTAGTATGATATTAATTCTTTTGATAAATTTTTACTACATTTTTAAGCTTTTTTCTTAGTGGCTGCTCTAAGTCTTACCATATAAATCTTAACTTATTGTATTCTAATTTATACTAATTTAATTCTAATCAAGTATAGGAAAGTTACTCTATTTAGCTATGTTCTGTTAAATATATATGTATATATGTTTACATACATGTTTATCTATATTACATCTATATATTCAAAAACCCAATAAAACATTATTATTAGTGTTGCCTTTTATAACTTTAAGTCTATTAAAGCTAAAAAATAAAGGAAAGCAAGTATTTTTAGAAGAACTGCTGAGTTCTCTAATCTTATGTACTTCCTCTAACCCTGGGAGATTTCCAGCCACTGCTCCCTGCATTGACTGACGATAGAGGGTGGTCTTCCCATTTTGGCTCCCCAGGAACTTGCAAAATGTAATGAGTGATTGAGCCCCCTATTCTGCCAGGGGTAGGGCCTATGCCTTCTGAGTGGGGTTGGTGGGGAAGTAAGCTACACGCCTCCCAACCACACTCACCAGGAATTTGTCCTATGAAAGTCAGAGTTGGAGGGGATGAGAAGTGCCAGCATCCTGCCCCTTCTGGTAGGATGTTATATCCCTTATTGGGAGTTGAGGAGAGAAGTGCCATGTTTTCTCAACCACACCTGCCCAGAGTGGGTTTTCTATCAGGCTGAATTGGGAGACCAGAGAGAGGGGGAGGGGTCAGGTCCTGTGGTCAAGTACCACAGTCTTTTGCTATTCTTAAAATATTTTAGCAGATTATACTGTATGAAATTTAATGTACAGATTCTATTTTCTCTACTACCTAGTAGCTAAATATTTCTCCTTCAAAGAAACATATCTGGGGCTTTATGGATGTCTTATTTAGGACAACCATCTCCTTCCAGTGGGCTAAGGACTTCCACAGCTTTAGTACTGAAAATACCGAGGCCTGTAAAACTCTTCAGTCCCAGACAAAATTGGGCACTTTACTTCTAATTAATTATAATTCATTGTAATGTTATGATTCACAAAGCCAATTCAAAAAGAAGTCTATCTTTGTACAATGAATCACTGTGTACACA